TAAATAACCATGGAATAGATATTTCTCCCCAACATGGAACTCTATCAATATGCATTCGTGTCTCATATGAAGTATTCGGGCACTGATGTTATCGATCAGAATTGAACCCGATTCATATAGCCTCATAGTCTAAGACGTTACCATTGACCTATTTGGATCGTGACTGATTTTGAGATATTTACAATTGATTGGCCGTTATATTTCATGACTTTAAATACATACATTATTAGGTTGTGTTGCTTTTTCAAAAACTCTTTCACCTTAGTTTGGAAATCACCAACTGTACACATCCAAAACTCAACACAAGAGCCCAGGCAGTTATCACCGATGACATTTAGTAGTGGTTATATTTTACTCCATATTAACTGAAAATGTTGATCATTTCATTCCGTTTCAGCAGTCTAAGTATCTTGTACCCACCATGATATTTGTAAATTTTGGGTTTGGCCCCTTAAGACATAGGGTTTGACTCGAATGTGTCATGCCTTATATCAGCACAGTGAGAGAAGATTGGAAGACAAGGTATTAAATTAATTTTAACAGCAATGAGACAGTTCAAGAGGAATAAATTAAAGTGATGAGTAGAAATTTGAAAATGCCATAATAACTCATTTTCAAGAACAAGACTGGGAACGAATGCAGCAGCTTTACTATGACTAACTTTAAGTCTCCAACCATGGATTACGACTATTGAACATATCCTTAACAGAATTCCTGTCTCTACCGAGATTCATCAGATTAGTGATTGTTAACTTCATAGATTCATTCTATACATTAATATTCTGACTCCTAGCTTTTTTAAAAATCCAATCTTACACTGAGCTGTGCAACAAGTCTAGGTAGACGGTGGTTACATACGCATAATACAAGTACTAACCACGTCAACTGATGAGTTTTTATAGATTTGTGTACCCTCATCTATCGAGAAAAACGATTTTATGAATCGTAACAGCTTATCGATGCCTTTGACATTTTGTTACTGGTAAGCACTCTACTAAATGATATATAGTGATGACATATCTACCCGTTAAACTACTAGTTAACATATTTAATGGTTTGTTACATATTGAATGATCGCGTATGGAACCCTTTCGATTCTCCCGTGACATGTATTAGGACAATTATTAGAAAACATACCAATACAACTGAAGGTAATTCAGGCTATTCACTTGTTGAAATCAAGCTCTCAGAATATTAATTTTGTGTTATATAAAATATTAGGCTAATAACAAGAAAACTTAATTACTTCTCACAAAATTACATATGCAAAACATGTAAAATTAGCGTGTATTTGAAAGTTTTGAAGCATATGAAGTGATATGAATTTGTAGTGGCACTGGACCCTAACAACATGACCTTTGAAGCTGAACATATAATTACTGAAAAGACTTATATTCAGCAATTGATACGAAGAGGTTAACTATGAAGAGCGGTAACATTGAATTTTAATCGGATGGCATAGCTCAGCTATGCAGGCGTGATCATTCTTGTATAACTCTATTATTCATATGAAATATATTGTTCAAATCTCCAGCCTAAATGTGTTCACCGTCATATATTGGTGATTCTTATGATAGGACGGGTCAGTGTAGACCATAATGTAATTTTCACGTAAGATCTTATAGATTAGGTAATCACACCATATTGAATCTATCATTTTAGGATTAGGTCTATTATTAAAACAGTACTAATAACGACGTAGACCTCAGTGATACAAATTCATTTCATTTTGGAAAATGTTTAACTTTTCTACTTTACATAAGTTGATGATATCTAGATAAGACACATTCTAGATAAATACTACAGACGAAATATGGTCGGTGCGATAATTCATTATTAAATCAGTTGTTTGAAATATGATAATTACAGGTTCACATTTTAATATTATTGAGATAGATTGATTATTAGATAGTTTAATTGTAGAATTTTGATTGTCATTCTAGATAACATTATCAATGCTTAATTTATGTGAATAGTCCATAAAGTAAGTGTTGAATCATATTATTCTAAATGATAATGAAAAATTTACAATTACATCATCGAACTCAACAACATTTAAACTATCCAATTGAGCTACAAATTTTCTATATCAGTTCACTGATCATTATATCAATTAGTTATTATTTTTTTTAGTGAAGTTTTTGTTTGTTTAAGCTGAACAGTTTGATCGATAAATATAGTAATTGCTTTTCTAAACAACATCATATGTACCGTAAATTTCAAATAGAAGTAAACATAATTGAAATTTCTTTACATGTGACAAAACAAATTGTTTTGTTAACAATGAAAAAATTCCATTAGATGTTAGTAGTCAATGTTCTGTTATTATGTGAACATTGATTTTAACTGTTTTCATCCGATGACTTGACTCTTAGCCATCTTTTTAGCTTACTGTGTTCTTTCTAGTCGGTTTATAAATTCAGTCAATATTAGTGTGTATTATTACTTACTTACTGATTTGAGGGGGGGATAAGTTTTTTTGTTTTAAATATTTGCTGGTATTTTCTAATATTGTCTATGTTTATGATTTGAACATCTCAGTTAAACTTGTGTTCACAATTGTCCACAAGCGTTGATAACAATGAAGATTTATCTTGACATAGATGGAGGTGAATATGGTAACCATTTTGTACTGTGTTATGTTTTTCATAGTTAAACTAGATCATTTTATAGAAGATATTTGATCTATTTTGTTGTTTCATCTTTTAGCTTAAATAAAGTCTATCAGAGTACTTTTGTTGGAAAGTATGCTACAGTATGTACTCACTTGATTCTATCGGATTTGCAATCACATGATCTTACAAATCATCGGATTACTTCTGTTATAGCTGGAAATTTGATTATCACTTTGTTGTCTTTTGATATATATGAGTCTCTATTTTCTCTAAATTTATTTTAGTGATCAATTCATATGTGCATATGTGCATACTGTGCAGATAGCTTCGATATAGCCTTAAGTCACAAGCTTTTGAAGCAAAGATGGATAGTGACTAGAAGTGGAATTTAGGATGCGCGTTTTGTTTTATTTGGAACTCGTCAGCTGGATATACCTGCGACTAATCGTTAGATTACTGTCTAGGGACTGATAACACATGAATTTGATAGAAACACATTTTTTATGATAAGTAAAAGATTGACAAATTTAACGTTAAAACATTATGCTATAAAAATACCTAAATACTAATCCAAGTTATACTAATGTAATCTTTATATATATATATATATATATATATATATATATATATATATATATATATATAAGAAATATTAATTAAGTTACTATCATGTGTATACGTGTTGTATATGTAAAGTTTACTTTAATATTATTACAAATATTTCATATTATAGAATCATATGATGATAAACAATGAGCATTGTATATCGAATGCCAAATTATTTATCAATCTGAAACTAAACTAATCTATTCATCTATAGATATTAATCAACAGTTTTTGATGAATACGATGTCATATATTTTGCTTGTTTATTTGTTTTTAGTAAAATAATAATAATAATTAGTATGCATTATATAATGCTGTTCAATTTCACTGATAAATACCCTAATGCGATCTAGGATGGTAGTAGTCCGCTCACCCTGCCGAAATGCTTTCACAAAGCCACGCGTATACTGCCACTGACATGGTAGTCCGACTTACTGGCTTCTCGTGGTGGAGAATTCGTTTACGAAATTGTAGAGGACGAAAAGCAAATGTCCATCTCTTTAACCGGGTTGATGGATATGCACGAAGAGGAGTTGGAAAACCCTGATTCCAAACCATTTGTGCATATGGGATCCAGGATCATGAGGGAACGAATGGCATATGAACCAATCGTTGGTCACCGGCTATCATGGGACAAAATCTCCTTACGATTCTCCACTACTTTGTAAATCAGATCTTTAGGTCGAATGCTCCGGATGTGGTCCTTAAGAAAGTCATCTGCTTCAGTTTAGACACCCGGGCAGTATCATAGCCCACACAAGTCACTTGACTTGTATGGTGCATATGTATTCGGTACCCCTTTGTACCAATATTTGTGTTCAAATAAATAAATAACAAATTCTTTTATATCTGTCGATTAAAACACTTTAAAACATTTCCAAATCTTATAATAAATATATTTTTGTAATATCCTAATGAGTAGAAAATTTGTATTTTCGATGTTTCCTGACTTAATGTAAACTACTTCTTCAGAGTAAATTTGGTTATATATTTACTCTAAACAAGTGGTTTACATTAAGCCACGAAACATCAGAAATATACCTACAATTAACTTTCTATCCAATGCTTTATTTATTTGAAAATCTATGACGTTTAACCTTGGAAACTCCGCCAACTTCTCCCAATAACCTGTTGTGGGACAGAACTGACGAGATCCCAGTAGAGGAAGAAATCGAAGAGCGCTGGAAGTAGATAGGACACACATTGAGGAAAACACCTAATTGTGCCACAAGGCAAACCCACACTTAGGACCTTCACTGCCAAAGGGAAAGAGGAAGATCAAAGGACACATTACGCCGAGAAACGGAGACAGAAATGAGACAAATGAATAAAGATTGGACAGAACTGGACAGGAAGTCCCAGGACAAAGTGGGTTGGAGAATGCTGGTTGGCGGCCTATGCTTCATTGGGAGTAACAGGCGTAAGTAATTAAGTAATTAAGTAAGTCAACCTTGGCAGTGATACCTAATGTTCAAATATTATCTGAGAAAGTGTTACTAATAAAAGGTAATAGACAGTCATTTCATTCTAATATGAAGCAATCTTAGAAATAAACTTTCATAATTACTAGGTGATGTCTTATAAGTCAGACAGTAAGATCTTTGAAGCGAATACATTTTATGTAAACTTTTATATCACAATATTTAGAGAGAAAAATGTATTCAGTTTCAATGAAGATTTATGAATGTACATTTGAATGAAAAGATTATTCTCACTTACTGTTAAGATTTTCTGTTAATCCAACATTTAACATGATTGATTTAGATTTCCTGTTCTTATTTAAACTTTTTGGAGTCTGTTTTAGAAAAAAGAAACAATATGAAACAATTAAAATGACAAATTCATATTTCAATGGTTAAGATCATGAGTCAATTGAAGCTAGACCACCATGAAACCTGGAAGTACTGGACAGCCGTTTGATTTTAATGTGGGACTCCTCAGCAGTGCACATCCACGATCCCGCCTCGTGATATAAATTAGAATTAATATTTTGTTAATCATTGAATGGTAAAAGATTAAAAGAATTAATATCGCTTTCAGATAACTTTCTATTATGACTAATGGGAACATTAGATTCCCAGAACTCACTTGGTAAATGCCTTATTTTTTATAATTCTATATTAAAATTTTGAAGTAACTTGTTTTCGCGCCAAAAGCATTCATCTTTATCTTTATTTCGTATTTCCCACTGTTGATTCGTTGTCTTTTTTAGTATGCTATTTTGTAACGTTTAACAAGGATATTTTTATACTGAATATACATTCTTGAGTTGTGCTTATTGTTGTTGTTTGTGCTTCTGGCTGCTTGTAGAATATATTTCCCTCTTCTGAACTTGGACTTCTCTCTGTAGTTAGCGGGACTGGGACTCATCGGAATAGCAAGCTTATTGGTTATTGTGTCACTGAGTTTTCGTTCTGTTTGCAGATTAGGTAAACTCGTAATCTCTTCAAACATAGCAATGGTTCAACACTAACCCATGTTTTATAATCATTATGATAATATTAATTATAATGGAAATGACATTGTTATCAGTTAAGTGATAGCACGTTAGATAATAATAAAAGTGAGAATTCTAAGATGTTTATGAAAATAATTAATAATGATTAACAAAGTAATGCAGGGGATATGTGAACATTGTTACGTTTCATTGCTTATTTCACCAAGTGATTTTAGTTAAATAAGTACTGAGAACCAAAAAGCATTGGACAGCGATATTGTTCTAGCGTGAGACTCATCAGCATTGTATATTCATCATATTAGGTTAGTTTATAGGAGTTCTTGTGAGAGGCCAAGATCAGTGGAATTTAACCATGTTAGGTATGAAACGATAACCCACTAATACTATTTGAAGATAATTGCAAAATATCACAAATTAATTGAATTTCAAAACGTAATTTACTGGATACTGACTCAATAGTTCAAACGTTAAAGGATCATAACGAGACTTAAGAGTTTTCGGTTCGATCAATGATTGTGTATTCACACTATCGATAAGTGTCGTTCTAGGTTGAGACTACTGTCTGGTTCTTCTATGTTTTCAGCAGTGTTCTGTCTAAGATCAGTTTGTGATTTAAAGTCTTTGGAAAAATACATTGGCAAGAGAACCACAGTATACTAACTTATTTATAACTTGTTCATATACCGGCTTACCTTTTTAATGAGTATCTGAATAGGAATTTTTACTTTGCTAAAACTTAACTTAATAAATTCCGGTCTTTCAGTAAAACACTTAATAATACTTAATTAATAATTACGATAGAACTCTATTAGTGAAAAATTTCTGTATACTAAGTATATAGTGGTTTATATCGACTAATTATTTGTTATCAAACTTATGAATAAGAAAATTATTTAGAAAATGTGCAAAGATGGATAATGGCTAACAATGGAATCCAAGATGCGTATTTTGTTTTATTTGACACTAGTTAGTTGAATGTACCTGCATCCCAGAATTGATGTGTCTCAAATAGGATGAAGCACGCATCCTGGATTCCACTATTAGCCACTATCCATTTTTGCTTATAATACTTGTGATTTAAGGTAATATCTAGGCAATCCGCACTAATCAATTGCAGTCCTAAACATGAATGGGAAGATTGAAGTAAACAATATTAAGTGAATTTCAACTCCACCCCATTGGACAAGCAAAATGGAAAACGCGATGGCGTTTGAAGCGAACAGTACTGGAGTTCGAGTCATAGAGTGAACATCAACTCTCAGGTGCAGGTACATCCAGCTGGCAAGTCCTAAATAGAACAAAACGCGCATCAAACTGGATTCCACTGTTAGCCACTATCCATCTTTGATTATAATACTTGCAATTTAAGGCAATATCGAGGCAATCCGCACAAGATGTACATATACCAATAAGAGACTGATCAATTGCAATTCTAAACATCAATTAGAAAGATTCAAATGGTTTTAATTTAATTAACAACAATTCTTGACGACATATTCAATAATAACTAACATCGATATAATAATACATTTAATTTCAAATGATAATTAATAACCATTGAATATGTAACAATGTTTAATATCAGACACATATTCACTGTAACAATTAATGATCATTATAAACTATCTAGAATTATCTAATAACTGAGAATATGAATTATTCTTTCTTTCAATAGAGATTAAATGAATGTTTGTTTATTGTTCGATGGAGTTTTATACTCTGAACTGAATGATTTGATCATCCTACCTGAGTTATAAATCCTCTCCATCATATTAAATGAATGTATATATTGCTTATCTATTGCTTATATACATACAATATATAATCTTTATGTTTATAATGAATTATATTTTCGACATTGACTATTAATAGATATATTTAGGTTATAAATTTTATCTTATTTACGATAAACATTCATTGAATAGATCTATATTCTAGTATTGATATTCATTTCTATAACTTGAACATAATACAGATTGTTTTAACTATTAATGAAGGAAGTTCATTATTGTATGTACATCGAGGAATTCATCAAATTCAATAGTGAATATTAACAATGATATTGTTACTAACAGTTATTAATATTATTTTATATTGTTCACACAGTCTGTCTATAATTCATTCTCAAATCAAGTTAATTCTATACTTATAAAAACATTTCATCTACTCCATACATACATAGGTAATACTTTATAAACTGTGATAAATATGTGCTCACCAATGACTGGTATTTTGACGTATTTCCTGGAGTTTTAGTGGGAAGCCGTGACCAATGGAGTTCAACCTTGCCTGTTGTGAGGTAGTCACTCACTGAAGACAATGTTGAACGGTCGCGTTATATTGTGAATTGATGGAAGTTAGACATTAACACCACTGGATTCCGGCTCAGCGGTCTAGAGGTTAAATGTTTTCGAGCTAGACCGAACGTTCTGGGTTTGATTCCCGAATGTGGGATCGTAGATATGCACTGCTGCGGAGTCTCATATTAGAACAAAATGGCTGTTCAATGCTTCCATGTTTTCAATGATAGTCATTTTTGATTCATTTATGATATCAATCTAAATTCAACAATCTCTACAACCCTATACCGACAATAATTATACAAATTTATATTTTCTAAATTACAAGTCTGTAATATACTTTTGCTAACTAATATATGTTTCAACTAAACTGGATAAAATATGGTTTATTCAAGAAAATATTGTAATTCTATATATAGTTTAATAATAAGTCATTAATGTTATAATTTCTGAACCAAATAGTGTTTATTAGATACTGGGATAAGGTCAATTGTCTAACCAATGAGACTTTTTAGTGGCCTGATATCTGACTCCAGTTAAATCGTATTTTGATTGTTATTGAAATATACACTTCAGTTACCCTTGTATTTAATTATCAACTTAAATCGTGTTAGTCAATAACGGAATCAAATAAGTTAAATACGAGAATAGACTTTTGAATACGTATATCTTGTTCAACCGTTAATTGAGATAAACGATCAAACAAGCTAAACGAAGAGAGCGAATCGAAATGACGCGCAATAGACTTTAGTTAAATATCTTCTCCACTGCACGTCATTTCGCTTCGTTCTCTTCTCTTCGCTTTATTTGCTTCGTTTCTCCGATTAATTGTTTGTTCAGACCAGCGATTGTATGAAATATACGCATTCAAACTTTATTCTGTTATTCAACTTATTGAACTCCGTTATTTACTAACGCAGTTGAAGTCGATAAATGAATACGAGGATAGCTGGGGTGTATATTTCGATAACTTTATGACAATTATTCGTACAATCCAATTGCAATCAGATACACTAGGATCACTAAACCTTTCAAATTGAATTTTAACGTGGAATATTTCATTACGTACACATAAATTATATAATTTGTCACACGATGAACATTTCATATTCAAAGATTATATTCATACTGTTACCAGAAATTGTACAGAAGACATAATTTTAAAATTAATGAAAAGTTAAAAAATCGACTGAAACTTAAGCTTCATTTCTAGAAATGCTAATAAAAATACGCTTTCAATTACTCCAATATACCATAATCAACTATTCAACTACAAGTGCTATCTTTTAATTTTGAATCTGATCACGCGTATACAGCCACTGACAGCAAGTCCTGCTCACTGCGTTCTCACGACGGTGTTGTTTGTGAAGTTGAGAGGACATAAAGCGAATATCCGAAACTCTAACCGGGTTGGTGGACACGAAAGGTCCATCTAGAGGAATTGGAAAACCCTGATTCCAAACCAATGGTGTATATGGGCTCCAGGATGCTGGGGGAACAAGTGAGGTATGAATCAATTATTGATCATTGACTTTCATAGGACTGCATCTCCTTACGTTGCTTCACTGCCTTGTGGATTAGACCTTTGGGTCAAAGGTTGCGAGTGTACGCTCCTAAGAAAATCACCTGCTTCGATCTGGGCACCTGGTGACTTGTATGACGCTTATGTATTCGGTGCCCCTTCGTACCAATATATGTTCAAATAAATAAATAAAAAGGTCACAAAAAGTATTGGAAATTTATGCATGATTTGTGTATACTGTTTATATTACAAAAAATTAGTCACATAAGGTAATTAATCAAATTCTTTAATATGTTCAACGGATACTAACAAAGATGATCTATTTCAATAAATAATATAATCAAACATAATATAATTATAATAGTTAAGATTATGAGTCAATGGACGTTAGACCACTATGGAAAATTTGAAAGCACTGGATGACCAAATTGTCCTATTATAGAACTTCTTAACAGTGCTCATCCACAATTCCACTTCATGAGATTCAAACCAATGACCTATCAATTTCGTGTGCAAACTTTTAACCTCTAAACCACTGAAACTGCTAACATTCAACAATGTTAATATTCAACTTCAATTAATTACTTATTAAATTCTCATTAATTTCTATAAAATAAAATTCATAAAATAGACTTACAATTTTTCAAGTTCATTATTCAATTCTTCTTCTGTATAATTTTGATTTATTAATAATGGATTTGATAATATAGAATTAATTTGTTGTATAGTTTGTTTATATTGTTGATAACCATCCATATCATCATTATTATTATGACATAAATCTCTTTAAAAATTAAATTATTATTTTATTAAAAAACTTACTCATAATTAGGAAGACTTTCAATTAATTTTGATGACATCATAATTTGATCATTAATTTGATGATTATCTAATAGATCTATATGATCATCTTTATCATTAGATAATCGATTATTATTATGATTATTATTATTATTATATTGATTTTTATAGTTTTCATTTGATGATTGCTTATTATTATGTAATACATTTATTATTGCTATAATATAATAAAATAATAATGTTTATATATATATATATTGTTACTATGTTAGAAATGAACTTACATTTTCGTATTGTTTTTATATTATGATATTCTTTTATTTTTTCTAATTCATTTATTTCATTATTATTTATTGAATAATTTAATTGATTTTTTGAATGATTTATTTGTTCATTTTTTGATTGATTTCTTTTATTTTTAAATTTTATAATTGATTTAATTATAGAATGCATTTGAAATTATTTTATTTTAATTTAAATTATGAAAATAAATAAATAAATAATGTGAAACTTTGCTTAGTTACTAATAAGTTTATATCAGCAACAATAACAATAAAATTTTTATCTAAATTGGTAGATGTTGTAACATTAAGCCCGATTAGTTATCATGTGATTTATTCACCAATCAAAATATGACTTATTCAATTTTAGTGCTATACTAAACCAATGATGTTTGATCTGTATGAGCAGTGTACTGTCTTTATTGGTCCTTTATTCGTCTAGCCCATTCAGTTGAGTCTAAAATGTCAACAACAGATTCAATTATGTGAATTATTTATTTTAAACGTACTTGATGTACATATCAGTCAAACATTACGCGTCATATCATAAAATAGAAAATAACATTTATACAAGATCAAGCCAAAATATGGTTGTGAACGTTACTTACTTTTTTACGCTTGTTACTCCTCGTGAAGTATCATAGGCCACTCATCAGCATTCTCCATTCAACCCTGTCCTGGGCAATCCTTTAGAGCTCTTTCCACTTACTATTCATCCTATTAATATCTGCTTCTATTTCCCGACGTAATGTGTTCTTTGGCTTTCCTCTTTTCTCTTTCCCTTCAGGATTCCAAGTTAGGGCTTACCTAGTGATGCAGTTTTATGATTCGCATAATGTTTGTCCTATCGATTTCCATCGTCTTTTCCTGATTTCCTCTTCAGCTGGAGCTGGTTTAATCTCTCCCACAGTAGGCTGTTGCTGATGGTATTCGGCCTATGTATGTTTAGTGTTTTGCGAAGACAACTATTTATAAATAGTTGTGCCTTCTTGATGATGGTTATAGTAGTTCTCCAAGTTTCAGCTCGGCTGTGAACGTAGGAGACTGTAATCAATAAACTGAACATAACTTAAGAACAGTTAATAATAATAACAGTTAATAATAATCTTTAGATCAAAATGAAGCTTATGATAATATGAATATAAATATATACAATCTAGTTACTGGATAGTTATGCAATAGGAATATATAGATAATATTAGTCCATCAGTAGTTCTCAGAAGTTTATTCTTTGCCGGGATATAACAGTGAAAAATGAAATTGTTTTTCTTTTCAATTGTATACAACTCAATAAAAGTTATAAATTAAATAAGAATCTTGATTGGTTAATTAATAATATATATTAAATATTGTACACATACGTGTAATAACACTTATAATTCATTAAATTCACTTGGTATGGTTTGGCTTGTATCTTCCCACTGAGGTTTAAGACTGCAATTGATCAGTCTGTTATTGGCATATGTGCATACTATGCGTATGCCTTGGTATTGCCTTAATTCACAGGCTTTTTGTACGCAATGATGGATAGTGGCTGGCAGTGGAATCCAGCTGAGTGGATAACGCGATGGCGTTTGAGGCGAATGGTACTGGGTTCGAGTCTCAGAGTGAACATCAACTCTGAAATGCAGGTACATCCAGCTGACGAGTCCAAAATAGGACGAAACGCGCGTCCTGGATTTCACTGCTAGCCACTATCCATCATTGCTTACTGATAATTCATTAGTTAAGCTAATATAAGAAATTTATATTGTAATTTTAATAGTTGAGATCATGAGTCAAGTAAAGCTAGACCACTATGGAACACATGGAAGCACTGGACGGCTGTTTCGTTCTATTGTGGGATTTCTTAGCAGGACGAAATTGCTGTTCAGTGCTTCCAGGTTTTCTATGGTGGTCTAGTTTCAATTGACTCATAATCTCAACGATAATATCCATAAAAATCCCCTCTGAAATTTGTATAGTATTTTGATATTTTAAATAGTTAGAAAAACAAACTTTAAATTATAAGATACAGAGTTCTTTGTATTTACTTATAATAGACAAGTGAATTAAATTCATTTGTGTGATGACGGACCACTGTTGAATTAGAGGAAGCTGTAAGAGGCTCAGAAGGAGCCGAAGATATTCCATCCAATCACCTTTTGGAAGTATATTCTAGAATTCCTACGTGTAGCTTCCCGATTAGACAATGTTAATAACCGCCTGCATGCGGATTGGAGAACTTAAATGATTATTTCGTTCATACTAAAAAACTATAAATGCCTGACAGTTTTGTACTATAATCGACAGTGTTCGGAATAATATTCCTCTCCTTAGTCTTCTGTCTTCTCCTTGCGACTTGTAAGGGTTTTGGCATTCTATTGCTCAGTTATACGCGGTATATCAAGTAAACAACCTTCTAGATATAACAATTTGGTATTGTTTACTTGAATTTTCCCATTAGGTTTGAGTCCCAGAGTGAGCATCAACTCTGAGATGCAGGTATATCCAGCTAACGAGTCCCAAATAGGATGAAACAAGCATCCTGGATTCCATTGCTAGCCACCATCCATCTTTACTTGTAATATTTGTGAATTAAAACAATATCGAGGAAATACGCATAGTATGCACATAAGCCAATAGGAGGCTGATCAATTGTCTTCCTAAACATCAATGGGAAGATTCAAGTAAATAATACTAAGTGGATTTCAACTCCACCCCATTGGACAAGCAAGTATCTATCAGGACTCAGTGGTTAAGTGGATAACGACATGTTGTTTGAAGCGAATGGTACTGGGTTCGAGTCATAGAGTGAACATCAACTCTGAGATTCAAGTACATCCAACTGACAAGTCTTAAACGGTACGAAACGTGAGTCCTGTATTCCAGTGTTTGTCACTATCCATCTTTGCTTGTTAGACAAGTGAATTGTTAAATAAAATAAAATATCATTTTATGGTTAGCAACAAAATAATCTGTTAGGAGTTATCTAAATTAAATCAGTTTGCACTAGAATGTATCTTAAAAGATTCCGTGAATTTAAAATTGTTATGTAATTTACAATTTCTTTAGTATTAATACAGTGATTAATTTTGTTGATGATATCTGGTTTGTCTATCCGTATCATTTTACCATTCAAGACATGTTCGCATATGATGCAACATTGTAAGATTTTTATTTATTTTCCTATAGATGGTTTCTCGGTAGATAGAGGGTTTAACAGGGATCCTTTTAAAAAGTTATAGGAAGAGTAGTAAACTTGGAGTATTCTTTGTTTACTCGTATGTAAGATGTGTTGAATATTGTTCTAACATCAACAATGATATGACTATGGTTTGTTGCACTTGTACTTCAAACATTCATCAGTGTGATCTAAAAGAGAGCATCAATCTTTTTTCTTACTCACTTAAGTTCTTCTATTGCTTATACTAATTGATAAGTGCTTTATTGATTAGTACGAGTCTAATTTAAATTACAAATAGAATACCTCTAAGTATATCTGTTGTATTATTTCTGACTTGATTGTTGATTCATTTACAACTACGGGAGCAAGTATTGAATCATTCTGGAGATTCCTAATTAATATATCCAGTTCAGTTCTACCACTTCTACTCTTCATAGTTTTTAATTTTATTTAATATTTAAAACAGAAGAATAATCAAGTATTGTGAATCACTAAGGTCTATTTCGCAGAGAACCAGTATACGTTGTCAGCGTGTATTTTTTTCAATTATTGGTGAATAGCTATTTTTAGATTGGCCTTTATATAAGATATCGTTTAAGTCAATAACTGTTCAAATATCTTTTACCACTCATGAAGTGTAATTAATTAATTATGTACCTGTTATTCAGTTTTGTACCATAAATGATCTCTGAGCGCTCTTTTCAAAAAGGGGAGTGATTTTTGTACTGGTTGTGATTACGATTGCTTTTTGTACTAGTTGCAACAGAAAGCATTCGTGGTCTACTTTAACTAAAAGTACTTTGGTTAAGGTTTGAAATTTTCTCCAAACTTTGTCCTGTGGTACCTTTCTTGCTTACTCATTGACTGACACTCGTGTTCACGTTGTGATCATGGTGTGTTTTCAACGTTTTAAATCAAATTACAATGGTTAGTAAGACTTATAAATGTGGACAACCAAACTGCTTGTTCCCCGTTGAGGAAGGAATGCAGTGCGGTGAATGTAAAAAGTGGTACCATAAGATGTTTACACGTCTAAGTCCTACGGCATACAAAAGATGCTCGAAGCCAAATTCTCATTGGCTTTGTATGTTTTGCTGTACAAATAAAAAGTTACTAATCCAGGCGGCTATGAGCCTATTGGCTTTGGCCTGTAAGAAAAACGATGGCGGTTGTCCTGACACCATGAGCACTGACAGTGAAGAATGTGTCAGTGTAGTAAGTGCTGCTACCGGACCCGTTGAACACCCCGATTGTGATTGATGGAAAAGTAAAAACACCGTTAACAAGGAGTGAAGTGCCGCTTGATATTGACATTGGAAATCATACACCTTTAGTGGAAATTGAAGACCCGGATAACAATGTCATCGTTCCAAATAGTCCCAGTGTGGCTGTCCTGAGTGAGGATAAATGGACTTCAGCACGGAGATAGAGAAATGAGAAGAAAAAAGCTGTAGGCAAACCGTAGCTGGTTAGCAAGTCATTGGAAGAGACGGTATCAGAAACAAAAATTCCACTGAGTGTCAAGACAGATCTCTCTGAGAGGTCAGTCATTTTTCATAAGCTAAGAGAATCTTCCGACAAGCGACCAAAGGCTAGATTTGAACACGACTTCAGTCACATTAAGTCCGTAATAAGCAAACTACTCCCAGATACCGTTTCAGGAGTTAGCATTTGTAAGCTTTATAGAATAGGACGAAAGGTGGATTCTGAAAGCCCTCAGAAAAACCGCCTCTTGAAGGTTACATTTGGCACGGTTGAAGAAAGGAACCTGATTCTAGGTAACTCACGTAAAGTGACTGGATCCGGAATATATGTCCGTGAGGATCTCAGCCTAGCTGATCGTATTAAGAGACGATGTGTAGATAGGTCTGTCAAACTTATTTTGTAAATAATTTTTAATATTATTTGTATTCATTTTGTCAATCTTTCACTGTATGTACATTTTTTATTAAATCATTGTACCTGTTGTTTTAGTAAATGACCTTGATCACTTTTTCCGTTGTGAT